AATGTTAGAAATGGCAGAAGAGAGAAGCTAACTAGAAATCAGATGCAGTACATCTTTGAGCCAGGGAACCAGACAGGTTAAGAAGCCAGTCAGGGGATGGCATTTGAGACCCTAGTGTGGTTCAGGGATCACTGAAGTTTAGAAATTAGTAAAGGAAAAAACCCTAGAAACAAAATCAAGAGTAACCTGAACTTGTTTGGGGGAATAAACTGAAGTGCCCTAGAAGCCTATATGATCAGCAAGGCCTAAGATAGAGGGCAGGATATATACTGTACAAATTACATATACTATCTCTTATGTCCCAGGAATGGATTTGTGAGCTGTTAGTCCTGTACTGTCTAAGGGGATCTCTCTATACACCAAAACTCTGGGTTATAACTCCTTGAAGGGAGCAGTCAAAGTGGCAAGATTTCTGCTCGTGATTTCTCTGTCTCATCATAGATCAAAGAAGAACAGATTTAGAGCTGAAAGGGACCTTAGAGGTTATCCAGTCCAACCCCCTCATTTTACATTTTAGGGAACTGGGGCCCTGAGAGATAAAATACTTTCCATTTCTATCTCTTGTTCTCTCCTTTGCTTCTTCTCTCCTCAGTGTTTCCTCCTTCCTCGGTGGCTTTCTATGCTTTGTTTCTGTCTCTTTCTCCCTTTTCCCTCCTCACTGTCTTCTTTCCTTTTTTTGACTGCTTCTTTTTCTTCTCTTTCTTTCTAGGTGTCTTCCCTCACAATTTTCTTTCATTCTCTCCTCCTTTTCTTTCAGTCTGCCTCATCTCTCTTTTTCCATATGCCTCCAGGGTTTTTGTGTGTACCCCCTCTCTGAGAATATGGTTCGACTCTCTGTCTATATTTCTCTTTTTCTCTGTTAGTTTCCCCTTCTGTCTTTTCCTTCTTACTCCCTTCTCTTTCCTGTGTCCCTCCTGTTTTTCCTCGTTATATATCTCTTCTTTCTTTTTTCTCTTTTTGTCTCTGTGTCTCTTCTTCTCTTTTGCTCTGTATGTGCTTCTTTTCTCCCTTTCTCTCCGTGTCTTTCCCTCTCCCTTGTTGTCCCCTCCCCGGCCCCTCCTCCCTTCCTGTCATGCTCGGACGCGGGAGGAAGGAGGGCGATAACTTCATGTGACTGCTCCTTCCCCGAACGCCCTTCAGCATCGGCTGCGGCTCGGGAGACACCACATGGACCCGGCTCCCCGGAGAAAGCTCCGTCACTGACAAGACCCACTAGGAGCCCCCAGCACCGTCCGGGAAGGTAACTGACTTTCCATGTTTATTCCCCGTCTCTCCTTCCACCATCTGGAGCTGTCCGCTGGCCATGGTGCTGAATTCTGGAACCTGAAGAAGCCCAGCTTTCCCCCTGGTCCTGGGATTTCCTTTACCCGCTCCCCTGTACTCCGAGTCCCCTCTGACTGCTCTCCTGAACCTGGGGTCCTTCCCTCCCCGCCTTGTCCATACCTAAGATCTGCTCTGCTTATGCCTCCCCCAACCCAGCGTGAGCTTCGCCCACATCCCCTGTATCTTGGATTCCCTCTTTCAGCGCCCTCTGCACCCAGGGTTCGCTCTTCCAAGGGACCACCCTTCCTACTTCCCTTGCACTTCCACCTCTTCTGCCCACCCGAGATCACTCTTACCGTGCCCCCAGTATCCCGCGACCGCTCTGCTCACTACCCCTGTGTCCTGGGTCCACTCTGCTCTTACTCTCAGTACGGTGATTACCTCTGCTCACTGCCCTCCCTACCTCGAGTCCTTCTGTCCCCTCTATCCACACCCCCTGTGGCCGTGGCCGCTTCACTAGCGTCCTCTGTATCCCGAGCTCCTTCTCCTCTTCCGAAGTCCCCCATACCTATATCCCTTTCTTCTTACACCCAGAGGGTCCCCTCGTCCTGCTCCGAATCCGCCCGGGAGAACATAGAGTGGGGGGGGGGGAAGAAGGTGGGGGAAATATGCTGAGCGAAATATGAACAAATCCCTTCTGGTTTGGTCTGTTTGGGCAGCATGTTTCTGTTTTTTATTTTTATTGGGGAGGGGGGTCGGGGGTCGTTTGTGCCAAAGCAGATATCCAGTTCCTGGGCCGAGAAGCTCAGTCGAGAGCTCTGGAGGTGGCTATTCGCGGGTTTCTCTGCTCCCCGGAGGACATGAAAGCAACGGGATCGGAGAAGTTTGGGAAGAAAAATACTGGACTGCAGCATAGGGCACGCGTCTGTGTGTGCGCGCGCACGTGTGCCTCTGTAGCGCGCGTGCGTGTGCGCGAGCGTGAGCCAGAGCGCGCTGCGGTCCGCTTCTGTCCCCGCGGTTCTATGTTGGCTGGTGTGGGGATGCGACTGCAGGGAGCCCACGTTCAGCCAATCTTCCATTCCTTCTTTCTTCTCCTTTAGGGGAGTCTGCGGGAGGGAAGCCACCCCAGTCGTACTTCCATGCCCCAAGCACACACGTCTTGATGTGGGGGGTCTGCCAGCCAGGTTGTATAGTGGCAGGGACACAAGGACTGGAACCATTTAGGAGCAGGGTCAAGGAAGAGTTGGTTGGGAAGAGAGTTTGGAACAGCGTCAGGACAAAGGCCGGGTCAGAGCAGGGAGGGGTAGGGACCCAAGTCTGCAGAGACTAAACTCGAAGGTGTTGGAATTCCACGACCCCACCTCCCGCGGACCCGAGAGGATGCAGACCCCAGTATTGCGCCCCCAACTCCCTATGCTTCTTCTTCTTCCAACACACAGCCCCAGAGTGAGGCAGGGAGCTTCAGTGGAGGGGACGCCTGGGCGTGGCTACTGGGAGTCCGTACTTCCCAGTACTCTAACGCCCACGTTCAGGGGAGAGGGTCTGCAACGTGTGCGGTCCACCAGTCCTGGTACTCGGGCCTGGGGCCTGCTCCAGCCTTTGCCCCTAACTCGGCTCCGCAGATCGCCCTGGAGACTGAACGACCCTAGAGCTTCCGGAACCCGCTGCGTCTCCCCAAGCGCAGCGCGAGTCACCTTCAAACGCCCCTTTCGGCACTTCCTCCCTGCTCGCTGCCGCCTCTGCCAAGCGGACGCGCGCTCCTCGCTCCCTGCGCAGCCCCCGCCCCAAAGTTTCCTCCCCCAGTTCAATTCCCTAATCAATGAACCGGGACAGAACACTTGCCTCTGAAGCCAAAGGGCCTTTCAGGAAAATTGACATTCGATGAACCCGATCTTGCGGGTAGTTTTCTGCAGCACTGAGAAGCCCCGCTCCCGCCTCTCCACTAGTCCCTCCCCGCCCAGGACTCCTCAGAATACCCTTCTTCCACCGGCCGCCACTACTGATCCTTTCTCTACTCACTCCTCCTTCCTAATCACCCAAACCAGAACTCATGAGTGCTCCCACTCCTCTCACCCCTCCCCACCAAACCCGAGCCCACTGCCCTCTTCTTCCCTCGCCCCAAACCAGAGCTCGTCGAGTGATTCCTTCCACTCTGCCCCAGAACTCCGGATTTGGAGTCAGAGGAACGTGGCTTGAACCCTGACTCTTCCGCTTACTACCTATTTGACCTTGGGCACGTGAATTAACTTCTTTCACTCTCAGCATCCTTACCTGAAAATTTGGCAGATGACCTCTACAGTATCTAAATCTATGATCCTATGATCCTTAGATACTGCATCCCATAGGTAGAGAAACCCCTAAACCCTAATGACCTCTTCTTCCTGATTCCCCAAACCAGAGCCTGTCATTGACGCCCACCTCTCTGACTTGTCCAAGCCCACAGAGACAAATTAGTATGTCAAAATTAAGTCGATGCCTTAACCTGCTCTCCAACCCGCAACAAACAGCGACCCCAGTGGCCAACCAGTGGCTGACTGCTCTCTCTACCTTGTCACTGAGCCCGTTCCTTCGCTTAGTGACGGAGCGCGAGGGATGGGATCTCAAACGGGACGTCGGACTTCCCAGCTTTGTCTGGGTCAGTTAACCAAGCGGAAGCTAGTTGGCCTTTGTCCTCGACTCCAGGGCTTTATCCTTTCTTTATTTTCTGAACCTTTGCTGTTCCCTCCTCCGCCCTCTCCTTTCACTTTAGGATCCCTCTTGCTACTTCTTTGCAACCTCTAAAGCTTGCGGGGCTTTCTAAGCTCAGGTCTGACATTCCCTAGTTAGCCTAATTCCTAATTACTTCTCCCCTTTCGCTGCTGCTTAGATCACTGAATACCAATCTGATATCTACTCCCTCTTTTCCTTTGTCACTTTGCGATACATACCTTAGTAGTGAGTTTTCTAAGGTTTATTCACAGGGGAAAAGAGAGTAAACAGATTCAAGAATAACAAGCGAATATCATTAGATGGACAAATAAAGGCAGGATGGTGTAGTGGATAGTTTTTTAACCTGGCCATGGAAAAGGTGAGGATTCTAGTCTGGCTCACACTAACTGTGTAGTTGTGGGCACATCCTTTAATCTTTTAGTGTCTTGGGCAACTCTTTAAAAATCATAGATGGAAAGTGGTTTTTATAACAATAAGATCGTAGCCCCGTCCCCCCCCCCCCAAAAAAAACTCTATCCCAGACTAGGTAGCCTTTAAAATTCCCAGGCTATTCTATTGAATTTTGGCTTCCCAGATCTAGCTTGGCTCCGTGTAAATCCTTTTAGATCCAGAGGTTCCAAATCCTTTATGGTCCCTGAACAGTTCTTCCCCAGTACTGTAAATTGTCCATTCAACAATGCTAGGCGACTTCTGAGCCAATCAGAAATGGTGTGACAAGTTTTGTCCTTTACTCATATTACTGTGTAATCACTGGCTAACTAGAACCCCTCCCCTTCCTGCCAAAGTGGAGAGGGAAACAAAGAGCTGTCACACCAATTGTAGGTTTGTACCATCACCTCAAATATAGAACCCAGTACCCTAGGAAAGAAAGAAAAGCTGGCGCATCCTCCCATGTCACCCATCCCATTCCTTTTTTGATGGTCTTCTCCCTTCCTCCCCACAGGGTACAATCCAGGACCAGTGACCTGTGAAACCTGCATGTAAAGTCTGAACCAGCCTCATACGGGATCAAAGCCATCACCATGGACTTCGTTATGAAGCAAGCTCTGGGAGGTAAGGGAGGCCAATTTGAACACCCATGGTTTGGGTTTATTTTCTCCTGAACAATTGGTACAAGCATATCTCTCTTTCTCTCTCTCTCTCTCTCTCTCTCTCTCTCTCTCTCTCTCTCTCTCTCT